CAGGAGCTCTTGAATTTATCTTTAATGAGCTTTTACGAAGAAAAATAAATATTTGTATTCAATGTAAAATTAAGTATAGAAATAGATTATTATTAAAGTTCATAATAACTAAAAATTTGTTTTATTTATATATTTTGCTCTTGAGCTTTGTAAATAATATTAACCCATAAACTTAGAAACGTTATTTACGTTAAAAAATAATTTAAACATGAATAAAATATTCCAGATTTTCAATCAATACTATTCGATTAAAATAATAAACTTTATTTTCAATATTTAAATTTAAAATGAAATAGGTTTTTTATTTTTGATAAAATTATTCAGATCCAATATAGCAAATTATAATATTTTTACTGTACCTATATACTTTATCATCCGTATAAAAATACAATTTTAATGTATTATAATTCATAATACGATATTATTAGATATATGTATAGTATTAGATACACACACTGCCATACTTACCAACGGAAACTCGTAAACTTTATTTTATTTTATATGTGTTTATATATACGCTTCAGCTCTTAAGGTTGCTGGTGTTTCTGAAATGCATAACATATTAAAGATTTAAACTAAATATTTTAAGTATGATACACGAAACATTTATTTTAATTTAATTACATGTGCCTTTCGGGAATCTGTGTATAATTAAAATATAACAATGTAATCTGACCACTGAATATTTTTTACGAAGATAAAAACGAAAGGAGAGTTCTAAAATAGTTTTTTAAAGTTCACCAGAGAAATGTCCAGGATACAAAAATATTATGTACAACTGATATTAAAAACTATTTTTTAAACATATAATCCAGGGATTAAATATTATATTTATTTTTTAAGCTGTATCAGGCATATCGTATTACTTAAGTACTTATATTCCAATTTATATATTTTCGAACATTAAAAAAATGAATATCATTACATGATGGATAAGCCATCATTTTAGGCAAGMCTCTTGAGTGAATATACGTAAAATAATCAAATGTCGCACTTTTTTTGGTTGGCCATTTTATGCCATTACATAAATGAATGTTGCTTTTTTACTGAACAACTAAGAAAATTAATTCTATGAAAATTAAACCAATAGTAAAATATGTATTGAAAGAATACATATAACAATACATGTTCAGTTCATTCTTTGTTTTGCGAATTAATTAATAAACTAAGTAAAAAATTTATGATTCATTTATTATTTATCAAACCATTTGTTTTCGAAAATAATAGTATTAAAAAAACTGAAGTTATTTTCATTACATTTTAGACATAACATTTAATATATGCTGATATTATTCTCGAGATGTATACAATTTTATAATGTAAGATTCATCGTAATAATATTTAAATTTAAATTGCCATTTTCCTACAAGAAGCTATTCAATAAATCTTCTAATTTCATTATTCTTGTAAAACATTTTATTGGTAGTGTTATCTGACAATTATGAATTAGTACAGATAATTTAGATCAGGTGCTTATTTGAATTAAAATATCTAATTAAAGAATTCGATTTGAATATTTAAGAAACAAACCAATTACCATAATCTTTGTATATATAGTTACTGAATATACAAATCAAATCCGGACGTATGCTTTTATTGTAATAATCACCTCTGTTAGTTAAATATCTATTATTGATAAAAGTTATTTATGTTATCATATATAATTGAAACGCATATTATAGCGTACACATAATTTTTTTCTGATGTTGATTTTTAGAACACTTAGTACAATTTATYATGGCTATGCTGTGTAGCTGGTAGTTAAAATAATATTGCATAGGTACTAGGTAGATATTGGGTTGTATACAAATACGAGTATCCTCATCTGATTTAATTTGGTATAGAATATATAGAGTGAGATTCCAACAAGCATATCAGATTTATTGAAATAACTTAGGACTTACGAGTAGGATTTAATCTAATGGAAACCTAAAGCTTAGTATAAGACTTGCTCGAAAAGTTCCAATGTAGGGATTTATTTTCTATAAAAACAACAAATAATGTTATTAAAACGAAATCGATAAATGATTAATATTTCGTTAAGAATAAAATTCCATATGTGCAATATTGATTTATTTTAATTTAAAACAAAATGTAATTACATTCTTTAGATTCAAAGTAAGAAAATGATTACATTTTATACAATATCATGATTATAATATCTACCTGCCTAATATTTATATGATTATATTGAATATAATAATATTTAAATGGAAAACTGTGTTCAATTTGTCCTGAAAAGTAGACATTATATTATTCATTCAACTGGTTTTGAATTCGCCGGGCTGAAAATGTTTAAAATTATTTCGAATCGGGGCTTGAATTTAATCCTTTAACTACTATTATATTATATATTTTCTATACCAGGGGATTTAATAGACTTGTGATTGATCTCTGAGTTTTCTGGGTTATCATGATTGATATCGAATTGCCACGATCTAATAAATGAAAAAAAATCGCTCCGCTTAGAATCAGCCAACTCAAAACCAAGTGGCGGTCGACCTGTTGGGCACTGCTATTTTTGACTAACGGTCGCTTACTACTAAATTATCGTACTTCGATATGATTTGAATTTAACCGGTTGATTTTTTTTATCTAAGCTTATACATTTATAAAGGTTTTAAGTAGTTATCAATTTATACATTTCTGGTATAATTGTGTTGAAAAACATTATGACATCAATAATTCATTAGGTGAAAATTGTCATTAAACTTAAAATATAAATCACAGTGGCAGAGAATATTGATTACTGATTGATTATAAAGGAATTTATTATTAATGAGTTTTTAAGCTGAATATATATTTGAAAATAATTAATATATCAAATAAATGTTACTGTCAAAAAAAACAAGATTTTTCATGTTGACATATGACAATTTAAAAATTATTCAGTAAAACGCTTTCAATTTATAAATAGTCGTTTTATTATGCTACAACTGCTCTGATCGGTTATACTGAACTAGGAAATCATGCAATTTTGGCCAACCAACTCAAAACGTATTAAATTCTCGGGTAAAACATCAAATCGTAATCACGCCGATGAAAAAAACTTCATAAATTCACTCTAGTCATTCTGAATATTTTATTCGTTTTGAAAATAATGCGTTTTTAAGCGACTGCAGCACAAACCAAATTGAACTTTCGTTATTACCTATAATACTCGCACAGATGATTTATGAAAAAAATAAAATAAAAATTATACTCCCCACAGATTGTGTATATAACAAAAGCTTATAGTTTTTTATTCATCTCACGGGCTTTTTATAGTCAAGCAATTCTTTAGCAAAATTTATCGATAAACTAAACCATCAGAATAATATAATAATTTCATCCCTTACCAGTTAACAACACGGTATTAGTAACCAATAGTAAGGCATGATGAACACGTGACATATATTAATCATATTGTGCTTTTTTTTCTTAATTTAAAATTAGACTTTAAATTTAAAAATGATATAAATAAGGTACACTCAACGCTGCGTTAAGCTATGTTGACGCCCCGGGGTAAATTTAAATATGTCACCCTTAAGAAAATTATAATTTTAATTATATATTTTTTATTTTATAATGGTCCTAAAAAATTTGCCACCCCATCAAACACCATAACATTTGGGCCACCCCTCCCTTTCTCCCATTAAACGCGGCTCTGGGTACACTTAATTTACATGTATTCTGTATTTTTCGATCCAATATTGGGACTGTTATACATTAATTTTTTTAAGCGTATTGTTCTAGAACTTGGATACCAAACATGATAACCGATCAGTGAAACATTTTTAAAACTGAAAACTTAATTGTTGACGACTTGACGTTCAATTTTTTTGCTGCCAATTTTGAAATAGTTGGTACTTAACTAATATCCATCCCCAATATGTGTGTTGATGCATTAGGATTTAAGTTTCGAGTTTAAAAAAATCATATTTTCACCAAATAGTCATATTGTTTCCAGTAAATTACCACCAAGGACATTAATATCAATGTTATTTAATATGGAAAATTAACCTAATTTTGTTACCGAAACTTGTTAAAATTATTCAAAAACCTACGTGGGAAAAAATATAATTATTTTTAATGTATTTCATTATCATACAGTTTTATTTTGATTCAAAATAGTTTAAATAGAATAGAACAAGCTATGAAACATGACTCATTGAAGCTCGGTACAAACAACTGAAGTCGAAAATGGTCGATTGTATATGATCTACATTAATTATTTTTATTTTTTAATAATGTTGTGGGGATGGGGTTTAATATTGAAATATTTGAGTAAGTTATTGTTATTAAGTTATATGACCACACCATATAAGTGTGGTCTTAATGACGTATTAAGTCATGACAGTAGTCAGATATTATTATTTTAAATCATAAAAAAAATCTTAAATTATAAGTAAATTTCATTCCATAGGTACCTACCGTATAATTGTAGCCACATAATATTATAGTAGTTAGTATCTAATCACATAAATAAACTCATTAATTCATTCAAATTGTTTAAGCTTTAAATAATTGCTTCTCCTGATAATAAATAGACATTCTATCAAGCACCAAATCATCATTTTATTATGGCTTTCCACATATACGAGTAGGTACATCATATATATGGGGGTTTGTAAAAGAACACGCGGTCAAGCCGATCTGTCGTCGGTATCTATAGGTAATAGGTACCTATATCAGCTAATGAAATGATTTATCTTACACCGCGGCGATGGCCCTCAGCTAAAAGTAAAACAATGTTATTCACTCCCAACGAATATTAATAATAAATCGCATTATCATCGATTATTACGGACATGATTTCGACCAGTGATTTCGACGACCATCCGTCCCGACCGCTTTCAGCGCGTCGTCTGCTGGCGATTCATGCCATGTCGGTGGTCGGCGGCATATGAGCGCGCGCACGAGCGTTTTCATTCTCTCTCTTACCCTCTCGCACGCTGTTTCTCTCAGGTCGTTTGCCACCGCCGCCGCCGCCGCCGAAACCCGCGTGTCGGCCACCGAACGTTGCCGTCAGTAGTTCGGGTGTTGGCGTCGTCACGCCGCGTCGGTTTCGCGGGAAAAATTATCGCACGCACACGCGGACCATCCACCCAGTGTTCGGACGTCGAAAAAAAAAGCGGAAATTCTAAACGCCTATACGGAAACGGGCGGATTACTGTACACACACGCGCGGGAAGACCATAATTGTTCGGGTGTTTGTCTTACGTGTTATTATGATTAAAATTTGATTTGATTTTTCCTCAGAACCGTTTCACGCGCCACCGACGTGATAACGCCGAGTTTTACTACTCCACGCGAATACACGATACGATAAGGTGAGTGATACCTACGTGTAAGAATATTATGGTATTTCTGATTAGCTTTATTATACTGCGTGTATAACGGTCCGGAAATTTCCTCCCTCACGAAAATATTTTAAAATCACATTCACTCAACAGGTGTGTCGACTTTTCCATCCCGCCAAATGCGCAGGCGACCATGTTACCGTATACACACGCGCCAGTTTCAAAATATTATATAAGTTTTTAGTTTAATTACTATTTTAATCGACCAAGTTTGATTTCCCATTGCCATATAATTCTCCCTTATSCTCTGCGCACTAAAGTTTCGTACCACCATATCGAGATATTAGATATTGGTATAGGTAGATACATTCTTCGTTTTCATCGAGACTATCGAATACGAAACCTACTTTAACTCCATCCTCTTTCACCCTGCMACTAAGATCTCAGGCCATTACTGTGGTTCTAGTTATTAATATCGTTGTTGTTTCGGTATACGTATTTTGGGCGGTGGCTTTTGTCCGATTCACATCCATTTACTCTGTACATTTTACAGTACTTTATAGACTACATCACAGCATTGAACGATTATATTTTACAAAATATATTACCTTCACATTTTTATAGTTTGTCAGTTACCTACCTATTTATTTTTATTTATGTTTATATATTCTAGGTAATGACTGTAAATATTATTTATGTTACATTGTTACTTCTGTAAAATGTTGGTAGGCTTCTCCACGTTTTATTCGCATAATATTCCACTGTGTCACAAACTCTCACTACAAAAAAACATATCTTAAGAAGTCAATACTTCAATTTAATAAATATATAATAATATAAGTGTTATACATTTTGTTTCGTGTATAACAAATATCCAATACTGGTTGAACTGATTTGTCGAACTTTCCGGCTGCCAAMGATGAACAGGAAAACAATTTTTACATATATTATATACGTATAGATTTATTGTGTACAAGACTACTAGATAGTACTCCTACATAAAATATAATGCTAACTAAAGAGATTTAGATGCATAATTGCATCCATGTGTCACATAAGGAMCCATACACCCTAATCATCTCCATACCTATCTAATTATATAATTATAAATCTTCCATTAGATTTGAATAATGTTTTCTTCACATGTTATCTACAAGCAATTTATACCATTAAATTGAAATAGTTCACTTAAAACGAGCATAAATACTTGCTTATTCTAACCTTGTAAATATATACCTACATGTAATTACTTGTTTTTATTTTGTTAAGTATTTAAAACTTTATCTAAGCACGTTAAACTATGAATCATAAATAACATAATACTATTTATTCCAACATGAGTTGGTATTTCCAAGCTATACAGAAATATACAATAATAAAATTCGAATATGGGCAATAAAATATAAAAGGAACCGTCAAGTTATCACAGCTAGCGGTAAACTCGTTCTAGATATTTATGTCAAAAATTAAATGGAAAAATAACCCCTTGACATAACGTAATATTTATTAGGATTTATATACGATTTCAGTTTCTGAGACATTTTAATTAAATAATAATGAAATTCTACACCCATGTAGATCAGTGAACTAGATACAATAAAAAGCGCATTTTATAATATATTTCATTAGATTAACGTTATAAATATTTGAGAATGAAATCATATTAATTTTTATGTCACCAGAGAATTAATTAAAATATACGCAAATTTAATAATGCATACATTTCTATATTTTATTATTAAAGTAGTTCAATATTACATGCTAATAACGATTTTGTTGTTTTATAAACAACGATTAAAAACCCCTAGATTATTTTTGTAAACAATATTAATAACTAACACATGTTAATTATAATAACAATAAAAATTAATAAATAATTCTTACAAAATTAATGAATATATTCTATATTTATTATTACGTAGGTACTAAATAAATGGCAAATGTGGTATATTATTACACTTTTTTGATAAAAGACAAGTTAATATTAAATTCCTTAAGTTGGATTTTAGAAATAAAAATTATGAATTATCTGCAAACCGTTGTAAAGCTTTGTTGATGCAGATTAGTTACCTCGTATTTACAATATTGTCTATGAAAGAGCAAATAAATTAATGGAAAAACATTAAGCCACGACATACATACGACATCATAACAAATTCTATGGCATATAATATTTTATATTTAATGTAGTTAACATATATGTAAGCATATTATTATTATATATATAGCAGGATAAATATAATATACAATGGTTGTRGATTTTTTGTTGTTGAACTCGATTCATGAAATAGTTAAGATACATAATTTTTATCTTAAAAGTTATATTGACAATTCAATACAACCATCATTAAAAAAAAAAAAATATATATTCAAATAAAAATGTCGAGTGTAAGAGTATAAGACCAGTTATACTATATTTTCCAATTATTGTATAAATAAAAATGTATTTAATAATTTCGAATTTTATAACCAATTATTTAATAAAAAAAATTATCTTCACTGTTAAGTAGGTAAGCGTAAAATTATAAAGTYAAACAAAATTGAATATTATTAGATAATTGGTTATAGTTTTTATTCCTTCATACTATGAATAAAGAAATTCTTAGATAAAGTTGAAATAATTTAAAAGTTGGTTTTAAGAATAGGTAATAAAAATATTACATTACATAGTAACAACTTGACTACCTATTACAAGTGCTAAATACAGAAGTATAGAAAAATAGCTAACTAACTAGTAGTTACGTAATTGATCATGATTTGAATTTGTATATTTTATCTTAAGGCACTTGATAAATTAATCCTACATAAATTATTATAGTTTGCAACGAACTAACAAACTAATTTAAATTCTTAAAATGCTGGCAAATAATTTGAATTAAGAATATTAAATACGCCGTTTGATAGAAAATAATCAAGTTACAAATTAAAATAAATAAATTATGAAACCACAGTGAGACAAAAATCATTTTATACCTACTATTATTTTTTAATTATATATGTTTTTCAGTCTTAAAACACATCAAAATAAATTTGTTTTATTTTGCATATTTTAGGAACTATAAATTGGTTTTTTATATCTTACCATCAAGTGTCAACATCGTTATAAATACTATGGAACTCTAATTTGATTTCATACATTTACGCATGATATTTGTAATCATGTATGTCATTAGAAACTATTTAATTTGATATTTTTAGACGAGGACATTAAAAATGTATATAAATTATAATATTATTGAAATTATTAATCTTTATGTCAGTATTACAGGGAATTTATGTTGTAAACCTTTATCACATATTAATCCATATAACTATATGGTAAAGTAGAGTGTTACGGCACAAATAAACATAAAATTCAAAAAGGTTTTTTTCAAGACCACCAAACGAAATGATAGGGTAAAGAAGACAAAGTGACAAATGAAAATCACACATTGTAAACGGAAGTGTCAGAAAAACGGTGTGATTTTCATTTGTCAAAACAAAATCCCGCAGACCAACCAGTACCAGACTAGATTATCGAAGAGGGTATAAATACCGGACACTCTTGACAATCTAGTCAGTTCCCACTTTCTACCAGACTCAAAATTCTTAAACTATACGTATCTCCCGTTCTTACTTACGCTGGCCCTTCGTGGTAGAGATGGGATGATTCAGTCACTTGAGTGTTGAGTGATTCGGTCATTTGGTCAATTTTACAACGAAGAACGATAGAACGAACTATGAAGTCCTTAATCGGTTTAATCTCCTTAGAGGTTATTGTTGTTATTATCAAATCATATGTTATTATTCCCGGGTTTTTAGGTTTAAATCGCAAAATCAATTTTTTGAAATGTGACACATTTTACTCAACCATACATTTTTATAATTAAAATTAAATAGCAATAGAGCATTACTTTACAAATAATTTGTTAAAGGGAACGCTTTTTAACCACATTTAGAGGTAGGGTGACTGATTCTCTACTCTAACCCATGTGTATAACTTAATATAAGTAGTTCATACTAAAATATGTACTATGTAACTATTACAAAACTATTTAATTATTACCAAATACTATGATTACTAAATGGCAAATGCTATTACATTATTACAATTTACAATATAACATTTATGATAATGAATAAATAAAAGAATATTATACTAWTTATAGTTTATCCTTTATCCTTTATAATAATTCCTTGTAATTCTTAAAATTCTTTATCTTATTAATTATTATGTAATAACACGGAACAATAATAAAGAAAAAGAAGTGACCGAATCACCATAGATATTTTAATATCTATGCGAATCACTAAATCAGTCTAGTTAACCTCAAAATATAAACGATTTTATACGTTCCAGTCCTTCCAGAGTCCAGATCATAAAACATTATAATCAGTCAATTTGACCGAGTCAAAGTGTACTGAGAACCAAAAGATCTAAAAATCATATGACCGAATCATTTAGATATTAGATTCGGTCGCAATTCGGTCACTAGACTGATTCGGTCATTTTGATTCATTCGTTCACGACCGACCCACCTCTACTTCGTGGGCCCCTTTCATCGGTCCTTCACTATGGAGGCGTATCGAATCCGTCCAAAACACAGGTATACGAACAATAACGGGCATGCCCTCTATTGTCAAAAATTYGGTTCTTCTCAAATCTGCTAACTTTAAATCCATTCAATCATCTATTCAGTCCYAGTCCAAACWTATGTTCTACAAAAATTCCTTTTCAGACCATGATCATATCCGTCTTCTAGGTAAATCTCACTCCCCCCCCCCAACTACCAAAAAACAACTTAAACCTTACCCGTTAACTTGGACTTACCATTCAAAACTTCCTTAATCCTCTCCCCCCACTAGTAGAGGCGAAAGCCTGGTATAGTTAACGGCATAGCCATCCTCCCAAAGCAAAGCAAAAATCTAGTCAGTCCACATCAAGCCTTCAAACTGTCAACAGCCAACAACTATAACAAGAGTTCTAGACAGCCGAAGGAAACGGACCAATCAACAGACCTGCAGCCAAACGACGACAACGCCGTTCCACG